GTGGCTACATTTGTGGCATTTGTGATTGGAACTTTGTAGCATAGGAACCTCAGAATGAGCCTTCTTTAGAAGAGAAGGAAATATCCACAATGTAAAGGGTGTAAGGAGAAGTAGTCATCTACAAAATGAGAAGCAGACTTCATCTGCTCTACTACTTTACTAAAGACTGACTCTGGCTTGGGGTCTGCTTTGCCCAAATGCTACCGCCCTGTGGAGAGTAGAAAATCTATGTATATGTATTAGTCTTCTTGGCTGCCATAACAAAGTATAGACTTTTAAAAAGCAGAAATATATTTTTTCACAGTTCTGAGGCTAGATGTCCCAGATCGAGGTTCAGCAGGGTTGGTTTCTGATAAAGACTGTCTTCCTGGCTTGCAGACTGCTGCCTTATGGCTGTGTGCTCACAGAGAGAAGAGATCAAGTAAGCTCTGTTGTCTCTTCTTATAAGGACACTAATCCTATTGGCTGAGTGGCCCACCCTTATGACCTTATTTAGCCTTAATTACTTTCCATAAAGACCCTCTCTCCAATCACATTGGGAGTTAGGGCTTCAACATATGAATGGGGAGAGAACGCAGATATTCAGTTCATAACAATCCAATATGAATCTAGTGAGGATCCCCTGATATAGCCTGCCCTAAACTCCTGCTCATGAAAAACTCCTCTCTCTGGTGCTTTCATTTACCTTCATTCCTTACTGAGCTTCATTTTCTACTAGGCTAGTAAGGGGAAAGGAATTTATGTCCTACTGGCAGTATCCACCCTATCTGAACTTGCCTCTTTTGGAGGTATTCAGACACATATCCTGCTCATTCATCTTCTGGTAGAAAAAAAAAATTGCCATTTCTTCTTTACTGGAACACTCAAATTTTAGACTTCAGCAATGGCAGTTGCTACCTATCAGGTTTTGATCAGTAACAATTAGAGAGCTACTGTTAAGAATCTCAGGGCACCACCAGTCTCCCTGAAAATGTTCACAAGAAATGGCAGTAAATCCTTTTGGAGGTGATATCAGTGTGAAGGGAAGTGTAAGGAAAAGAGAAATACTCCTCCCTCATCCATAAATCTCACACTTCATCTTTCTCCCACTGAGAAGTAGTCAGGCATAGACCTATAATAGGGTCATGGCCAGGGTGGGAGTGGTATGGAATCACAACCCAGGTGTGCCTTAGTAGCCTCCAAACTAACTGGGGAAGAAGCAGCTAAGTATTCCAGTCACTCTGAAGGCACGTGTCACTCAGTGCGGGCTGACTTAGCCTGATTTTGGTGTTCTGTCATCTCTTTGTTATCTCAGAACACATTTCCACTTCAACTGTATGAAGTCCTGAGAACTTTAATAAGAAGCTTCCAAGCTCTCTCTGAAATTCCTTGCTGAAGAGCCTGGTTGGAGAACAGCCGGTGCCTGACTCTTTTTCTTACCTCTTAGGCTTAATGCCCTCCCTGTACCTGGCATCTCCAGTAGATCAGATTAATACTCAGATTTCACAGGAAACAGTCCCAAAGAAACAGCAAGAAAAGTAAAACAGAAGCATCTACTCTGTGCCCTTTGTGGCTGTTGAGTTAGAGGTTACTAACTGTAATTTAGACTATTCCCTCTGCTTGGCAGAAGGCCTTAATCACCTGCTGAAATTTGATTTTCTAGGATGAGAATATCATAGGGCAGGTTGGAAATGATTTTATCTTCATTCCAAATATAAATTCCCAGAGTGGCAAATGGATGAGTTTGTCCAACAGTATCAAGCATATATGCCATACAATATCATGCACAGGGCATCCATAGACCCACTAACCCTTGACAGCTAAAATGGTGAGAAGGGAGAAATAAGCCAGGTGGAGAAAGACAAGTATCTAATGATTTCACTCATCTGTGGAGTATAAGAACAAAGGAAAAACTGAAGGAACAAAACAGCAGCCGACTCACCCAAGAATGGACTAACAGTTACCAAAGGGAAAGGCACTAGGGAGGATGGGTGGGAAGGGAGGGAGAAGGAGGTGGGAGAAAGGGGGCATTACGATTAGCACACATAATGTAGTGGGGGGAGGGGGACACGGGAAAAGCAGTATATACAGAGAAGACAAGTAATGATTCTAAAGCATCTTACTACGCTGATGGCCAGTGACTGTAATGGAATATGTGGGGGGGACTTAATAATAGGGGGAGTCTAGTAACCATAATGTTGTTTAAGTAATTGTACATTAACGATACCAAAATGAATGAATGAATGGTGAGAAGGAAATGAAATAAGTGTACTTTTGAAGATAATACTTTCCAGGTTTTTCCTTTCTCTCTCTCTTCCCCTCTTCCCTTTTCCCCCTCTCTTACCCTTCCACTGTCTTTCTTCCTGTTTTTCCCTTACTCCTTTCTTTTCTTTCTTGCTTTCTTTACTGACAAGAGAATTTCTCAGGTAGAAAAGGAACAAAAGTACAGCATCTCCATCTCTTCCATTCCCAGAGATTATTTCATTGCCCAAACCTCACCAGCTTCTTTGGGCTGTTAACTGGGGCCCAGTGCTAACTGTCACGCACAGACACTAGAGCACTTTGAAGTTCTGTGTTCTACAAACCTAGCAAATCAAAACTAAAAAACCAACCCTAGTTCAGTTGAGTGAGGATTCTTTCAACAATTTTTACTAAGAAATTTAAGAAAACCTGAGAAACAAATTATGAAAGCATGAAATGGATATATTTACAGAGTATAGATTATTTTTCCTAAAATAACTGAGAGCTAATAGTAGATTGATGTAGCTACTGTATTTCCTTTCCTTCAATCCTATTGCTCTTGGATACTAAACTCTATGACCCCATGAGTCAGACTCTACACAGGGTTAACTTTTAAGTTGATACTGCTGCTAGGTTTGGTGGGATTCTCAGTTCTTCTCTAAATCTGCTCTTGCTGTCTTCTCATGGCTTTAGACTCCTGGTTTTCCTTTTTGCTCCTGAACTGTTGTTATCCCTGCCAATACCCTCAAATTTTACCTTCTGAATGAGAAAAATATTTGACCCACAACTTGCTCACAAATTCTTCCCACTTTGGATTTAAAGCAAGTCACAACCTTAACTTGCAGGTAATGTCGCTACCTTTCTTCGTAGGCTCTGGAAAAATAAGTTACCAGAACTTTGCTCTTGCTCCTGACCCATTTTTATCATATTTGATTTATTCGTTCATTGAATATTTATTGAGCACTAGCTGTGTACCAGGCATTGTCATAGATATTTGATATTGCTTTATTATATTTAAGTTGGAAAATCCCCTAAGATTTAGTCACTCTTTCAACAAGCATTTAGTATATGCCTACAGTGTACTTTTCCTAGGTCTGTGCTAAGTTCTATGGTAGGTATTATTCCCACTTTTTTCCTCCGGTTAGATATAAAACTTTCCCCAGATCATTCAGAATAACAAGTGCTCAAACTAGGATTCCAAACCATGATCTTGTTTTTTGAAATTTCTGGCTTATATTCTTATTACCTATATTAGATTAAAGGGTTCTATAATTCTTTACTATCAATAAGTTATATTTTAAAAAAGTAGTGATCTCTATTGTGCTGTCACATACACACAAGTTTAATAAACTTTTTATTTTGGAATAATTTAGAATCACAGAGAAAGTGCAGAAATAATATACAGAGTTCCTGTATGCCCTTCATTCTAGTTTCCCCCACCTTACATTACCATAGTACATTTATGAAACACTAGGAAACTGGTATTGATGCATTACTATTAACTCCATATTTTATTTGGATTTCACCAGTTTATACATTAATTCCCACTTTCTGTTTCAGGATCCAATTTGGGGTATCAAATTGCATTTAGTTGTCACGTCTCCCCAGTGTTCTCTGGTCTATAATGGTTTCTCAAGTCTTATTTTTTATGACCTTGACCGTCTTAAAGAGTACTGGCCAGCTATTCGGTAGAATACCCCCAATCTGGGTTTGTTTGATGTTTTTCTCATAATTAGACTGAGGCAATGGGTTTTTGGAAGTAGATAACAGAGGTGAAATGCCATCTCATCACATCATTGGTAATGTTCACCTTCATCACTTGGTTAAGAAAGATAGTGTTTGCTAGGGTTCTTTATTGTAAAGTCACTATTTTTCCCTTTTGCTACTTTATACTTTCTAAATAAGTCACTAAGTCTAGCTTACCCTCAGTGGGATTGAGAACTAAACTCTGCCTTCTAAACGAGAGAGTACCTACACATATTATTTGAAACTTTTCTTTTAGAAATATTTGACCTTTCTCCCCATTTATTTAATCATTTTTATATCAATATGGACTCATGGTAAACTCTGATCTAAAACCTGTGCTTTTTCTGCTATACCAGACAAGAAATGACAAAGACCTATATACACCAAGTCACTGGTTTCAGGAAGATTTATTTATTTCATATTTCAGAGATTTTTGAAAGGTAGATTTGATAAGACATGGTGACCTTGAATGTGAGGGAGGGAGTGACAGAAAGGAAGTGTTTGAAAATAACACCCAGATTTTTATTTGAATGACTGGAAATAAATATTGGCTTGAAATATAAACTAACAATTATGAAGATTGATTTTAGGCTTTGATAAAGCTCAGCTTCCTCAGAGACTGTATTTAGCTGGCATGTTGGTCCAGCTTTACTGAGTGCCCTGTTCTCCCATGAGAAAAACTTTCTTTCTGACTGAGACACCAGGGCCCCCTAGTGGACAGCCCCCTGGATTCTCTTTCTTGTCTGAAGGGAATGCTCATTTTTTTTTTTTTTAGTTTAGTTGTGACGTTTTCTCCTAGTTCTTTTGCAAAGCAGAGATGCTTGATTCTGTCCTCTAATAAGTTATTAAACCCTTCCATTTCAGAGTTATCAGTTTGCCCCCATGTGACTGCATGTTTAATAAGAGGAGTTACCCTCTGACAATCACTCCCATGCTCTTATATTCTAAACCAGAGGGTACTCGAAACTTGTTTTTTAACTCATTTATCCATTTATTCCATCTGGTGCTATATTAATGTTAGTTTTTTGTTTCAGAGCCATCATCAACCATTTTAACCCCAAAATTGAATCTTATGCTGCTGTGAATCACATATCCCAACTGTCAGAGGAGCAGGTAAGCCACTATTCTCCCCAGAGTGACCCTACTGTCTCTTATGACAGGGATTCGGTGATTGAACTACCAGCAAGAGTGGCAAGAACCAGGCTGCTAAGAGGAATTAATTAAGGGATTTGTTGACAGTATTTTAAATAGAGTGATGGTGTCTGTTTTTGTGCCATATGAGCGGTTCATTTAATTACATAGAAGATAAAATGTAGGTGAAAATTTGGTGAATTATTATTTTGAAGTGGGTGATAAGCAGCTTATTTTTTTAATTCTAGGCAGAAAGTTATTTTGTTTCTGAAAATAAGAAATGAGAGCTTAGAAATTAGAAAAAACTTGAGTTCAGCTCAATTTGATACTGTTGGGCTCATTAAAACATGAGCTCTTCTTGGGGCTGATTTTCCTTAGTAATTGGGTTTTTTTGCCTTGAGCAATTGTTTCTGAGCAGGTTTTTCTATAGTATGGGCTGAGTTAAAGATGCCTATAGCATTGTGTGTTTGTTTTCCCTGAATCTAGCCTGATTTCCCCTTCTTCCAAAGTGCCTGCACTAGGCCCTGCATTATATAAAAGTACAGATGGGACTTTAGCGTGGCATGGGATTGAACTTGATGTTTCAGAACGTGACTCTTGAGTTCTGTTCTTAAAAGCACAAAATGAGACATCCTATTTACACAATCTCCCTTTCTTCCCACTCTACTCCTAAGTTGGAGGGTTGGAGTATTCATGAGGTGAAAGTCCAGGTATAGGCTCTAAGCCAATAAAAACAAAAAACACATATGCTCTGCTCTCCCTTTTTTGCCAATGCATCAGTGTGGAGCCTTCTCTGAGCCTCTGCCAGCCAACAAGCAAAGGTGTGACTATGTGTTCCAGTGTTCCTAAAAGTTCTTCAGCTTCCCTAGTGAGGCACCAAGCAAGCCGTTTTCCTAACAGACAAGCTTCTCAGTATTCCTACCAGTGGCTCTTCCCTCAGCCAGATGGATAGAACTGTATTAGTCTGTCAGTTGTTCCCTTTGACATATTTGTTCTCTTTTGTGAGGCCAGCTGTGAGAATCTACCCTCTTATTTAAACTCCTTTTATAAATGGCTTTTATTTTATTTTTTCTTCTTCAACTATGAAACAATCCTGAGTCTTGTTTTTTGATGCCACTACTCTGTGAGGTACTTTGAGATGCTACCTTTTTCCTGTTGGACAGTTCAGATCAGTTTTACTATATCATTTTTATGCAAAAGAATTCAACATCTTGAGTTTTTTACAGTGAGAAGAAAGGGTGACTTTCCTACCACAGTGAATTCTGGTTAGTTGAAAAGTCTGACAGGGAAGGCACGTTTTCCTTGTCGGTCACGTGCAGTATTCATCCACCAGCAGCTATGGAAGGTCAAGCTAAAATCTTCCTACAGCAGTAGCAGCCACAGACCAATAATAAAAATCCATTCTGGTGCATGAGGCAATCTGGAAAAGGATGATTAGCAAGCACGTGTCCTCACCCTCCTCCAACTTCTTTCAAAGTTAAATGAAGTGATGAAAGTGCATCTCAAAAGGAGTCTTAGAAGCCAGAGATGAGGTGATATCTGTGGGGAGAGAGAGTACACAGTGTATTTGAGAAAGAGGAAGGAATAGCAACTCTCAAGGAATTATTTACTTAGTCAATAAATAATTACATACCTGCTATACAAGATGTGGTACTGGGTAGTGGGGATCAGTGGTGAATAATCTAAGTGTAGTCCCTGCTCTCACAGAGTTTTATACACTCATTACCTCACTTAACAATCCTTGTCACTTGCGGAGTGGAGGAACGGTGATACTATTCTGGGACCCTTTTTAAAAACTCTCCTCAAAATAGTTGTTGCTTTTCTTCCCTGACTCTGAATGGTGTTGTTAAATGACAGCATTAGTGTGCACTTGGTTTTATTCTCAGCACTATCAGATTAGAAGTATTTGACTGCCTTGTTAATTTCCAACAAGTGTTGGAGTATTTCTTTCCCTTCTCTTATGAACATAAATGCTAATATCGTTTAATGTTAAGTGTTTTCACAGCTTCCCAAATACTGGCTTTGGGTTGCATAGGACCCTGCAATTGTAGCAGCAAATTAAGTAGAAAGAAGTCAGGAACTTAATCCCCGAGTAGATTCTAAAGTACTCCTAAAATAAAACCTAAAGACCATGGGTAGGCGTTAACTGGAATTTAACAAACCTTAGTGAAATAGCAGACAAGAGAGAGCTCTTTGCTAAGATCTTCCTGCCCAGGCTACCATTTTCTTCTGGCAAGAGATTTGTGAATTTTTGCTTTCTGACAACCCACATACACATTCCAGCCTCTGTTTGAGGCATCAAGGTGATGCTTGTAAATCCACTATTGCTTATTAAACAAAGCCCATTCTGTCACACTGGGGTCTCTTTTCAGATGTCCAGAAGATAGGTGACATTTTTCTGTTACTTCTCATTGTCTTCATGGAGGACAAAGCGTTTTAATCAGTTAATACCCTCAGTGTGACTGAATGGTCATGCATTTTTCTAGTGTAATAAATGGCATGCATTTTTACATTGTATACACGAGTGTCATATTTGTCTGGATTGACTGTGAAGCTTGTTCATTTTGACTCATTTTTTTTGTGTGTGGTAAAATATACATAAAATTTACCTTATTAACCATTTAAAAATATACAGATTAATGGCATTAAGTACATTCACATTGTTGTACAATCATCACCATCATCCATCTCCAGAACTTCATTATTGCATGCTGAAACCCCATACTCATTAAACAAGAACTCCCCTATTTCCCCTCCTCCCAGGCCCTGGTAACAATTTTTCAACTTCCAGTCTTTATGTATTTGGCTATTTAAGGTGCTCAAACAAGTTGAATCATACACTATTTGTCCTTTGTGTATGGTGTATTTTACATTAGTGTATTCAGGGCTTACCCATGTTGTAGCATGTGTAAGATTTTCATTCATTTTCAAGGCTGAATAATATTGTATGGTACATATGTTGCATATTTTGTTTATCCACCAGTGAACAATTGGGTTGTTTCTACTCTGTGGCTATTGTGAAGAATGCTGCTCCAAACATTGGTTCTCTAACTCATAGCTGTTTGAGTCCCTGCTTTTGTGTGTGTGTATGTGTGTATATACACATTTACTGGATCAAATGGTAATTCTGTTTAATTTTTTGAGAAACCACCATATTGTTTTCACAGTGGCTGCACCATTTTACATTCCAATTTGTCCACATCCTATCCAACACTTGCTGTGTTCTGGGTTTTTAAAAATAGATATCCTAATGGGTGTGAAGTAGTATCTCATTGTCATTTTGATGTGTATTTCCCTAATTATTATTCATGTTGAGCATCCTTCATGTGCTTATTGGCCATTTGTGTATCTTCTTCGTAGAAATGTCTAATCAAACCCTTTGCCCGATTTTTAAATGGGGTGTTTGTTTTGTTGTTGAGTTTTAGGAGTTCCTTTTTTTTTAAATTAAGGTATCATTGATATACAATCTTATGCTCAAGTTTCACATAAGCAACATTGTGGTTACTACATTCCCACTATTTTCAAGTCCCCACCATATACCCCATTACAGTCACTGTCCACAGCATAATAAGCTTCTCTGTGCTATACTTCCTTCCCCATACCCCCCTTTATTATGTGTGCTAACTATAAAGCATCTTAATCCTCTTATCCCACCATTCCCACCCACCCTCCCCAGTCCCTTTCCCTTCAGTAACTGTTAGTCCATTTTTGGGTTCTGTGAATCTGCTGCATTCAGTTTTTGCTTTGTTGTTATACTCCACACATGAGTGCAGTCACTTGGTACTTGTCTTTCTCCGCCTGGCTTATTTCACTGAGCATAATACCCTCTAGCTCCATCCATGTTGTTGCAAATGGTAGGATTTGTTTTCTCCTTATGGTAGAATAGTATTCCATTGTGTATATGTACCACATCTTCTTCATCCATTCATCTACTGACGGACACTTAGGTTGCTTCCATTTCTTGACTATTGTAAATAGTGCTGTGATAAACATAGGGGTGCATATGTTCTTTTTCAAACTGGGCTCCTGCATTCTTAGGGTAAATTCCTAGGAGTTGAATTCCTGGGTCAAATGGTATTTCTATTTTGAGTTTTTTGAGGAACCTCCATACTGCTTTCCACAATGGTTAAACTAATTTGCATTCCCACAAGCAGTGTAGGAGGGTTCCCCTTTCTCCGCAACCTCGCCAACATTTGTTGTTGTTTGTCTTTTGGATGGTGGCCATCCTAACTGGTGTGAGGTGATATCTCATTGAGGTTTTAATTTTCATTTCTCTGATGACGAGTGATGTGGAGCATCTTTTCATGTGTCTGTTGGCCATCTGAATTTCTTCTTGGGAGAAGTGTCTGTTCATATCCTGTGCCCATTTTTTAATTGGGTTATTTGCTTTTTGTTTGTTAAGACACATGAGCTCTTTATATATTTTGGATGTCAACCCCTTACTGGATATGTCATTTATGAATATATTCTCCCATACTGTAGGATGCCTTTTTGTTCTACTGATGATGTCCTTGACTGTACAGAAGCTTTTTAGCTTGATGTAGTCCCATGTGTTCATTTTTGCTTTTGTTCCCTTGCCCGGGGAAATACGTTATGAAAAAGTCGCTCATGTTCATGTCCAAGAGATTTTTGCCTATGTTTTCTTCTAAGAGTTTTATGGTTTCATGACTTACATTCAGGTCTTTGATCCATTTCAAGTTTACTTTTGTGTATGGAGTTAGACAGTAATCCAGTTTCATTCTCTTACGTAGCTGTCCAGTTTTGCCAACACCAGCTGTTGAAGAGGCTGTCATTTCCCCATTGTATGTCGATGGCTCCTTTATCATATATTAATTGGCCTTATATGTGTGGGTTTATATTTGGGCTCTCTGTTTTGTTCCATTGATCTATGGGTCTGTTCTTGTGCCAGTACCAAATTGTCTTGATTACTGTGGCTTTGTAGTAGAGATTGAAGTTGGGGATCATAATTCTCCCAGCTTTAT